AGCACAAACACAAACAAATGTAAACATAAACACAAACATAAACACAAACAAATGTAAACATAAACAAACGTAAACACAATCACAGCATGTAGCAGCCTTTCAGTCAGCGGGGACGTTACTGTGTGAGAGCGAGGAGCTGGTGTTTTTATGTTTGGCTCAAATATGCTGTTTCTAATCATTTTTAAATTTAATTTGATTCCTGGAAATCATCAAGTCCAGTTCAGTGTCTCCTGACCCCTGTTTTGGAAACCAGTGCAGAGCATGGTACAGGCAGTGATCCAAAGTGATCCAGAACCACCAGAAACAAGCATTAGCGGGCTGTAGCTGTTGACTTTCCTGAACATTTATTGCGATAAGCCATGGCTGTCCTCCGTCCCTCCAGCCCGTGGACTTCGAGCTGACCCGTTCCTTCATGCTGACCGTGGAGGCGGAGAACGAGGTCCCCCTGGCCCGCGGCATCCACCCGCCCCGACAGTCCACGGCAACCGTCTCTGTGCGAATCCTGGACATCAACGAGAGTCCAGAGTTCAGCCCAAACCCCAAGTCCATCAAACTGGAGGAGGGCCTGCCTGCCGGCTCTCTGCTCACCACCTTCACCGCCCAGGACCCCGACCGCTTCATGAGGCAGAGCATCCGGTAGGAACGTTAAAGAACCTTTCAATTAGTGGTGTTGAGCTCCGATTATGGAGCTGAAATAATAAGAAGGCAGCATAATGAAAAGGTGTGTTTTAACTATGTGATGCTGAACAGGTTAAAGCAGAGAGCTGAATGCGTCTTTCACTGTCTTTGATAAGAAGAGCAGTGAATGTGAATATCTGGAGCCTTTTCATCTTTTAAATTAGCCTCACATTCATTAGAATACACTCCAAAGTCACTGTCAATGACGGTCATTGAAAAGGTGCGACTGAAAGAAAATTAGCATATTAGTATGTATTTAATGCAGCCTTGGACGTTTTATCTATTTATCGTTTTTAAATCTATTTATACAATGCACATCGTCATGTAGCTGGAATGCTGAGGTGACATTAAATACTGAATTAGCATAAAGGCCTCGCTGGGATTCAGACTTTCATGATCCCGCTTTGACTTCATCGTCTGAAAACACTCGCTGACGTGTTTCTGGTGCTGCCAGTGGACAAAAAGGAAATCAGGTTCTCTCCTGAAACTTTGTTCCAAGGGGAAAAGGAGAAATACAATAACATTAAAATTATAGAAACAATATGTCATTTATGTAGATTTTAAAAGGTTTGTTTGCTAAAGTCAGAAGATCCTTGAAGGTCTCCAGTCTGTCTGACTTCCTTTCATCCTCAGCACCACGGAGCAGAGCAGCCAGCTGTTGTCTTCTACATACAGATGACTGGATCAGCCGTCTGCTCTGTAGGAGCATGTTCAGGTTTCCAGAGCCTGAAGCCGGAGCTCAGCAACAAGCCGAGCAGAGCGCCTGCAGGACTGCTGCTTCCAGCCCATCCTGCTTTCTTTTACATCCCACTATTTGTTTCTAAATGTAGTGCTCAAGTCTTTGTAGCCTAGCAACAGCCAATGGTGGACGCTCGCCGCGTTCACAAAAACATGCGCGCACACACACACACACACACTCTCACACACACACACACACACACACACACTCTCACACACACACACACACACACGCTGTAGAGCGCTGTAGAGTGGGCCAGCAGAGCATTTTGGTTTCTGATTTTCTTCTTTGTTGCTTTCTGTTTCGTAGCCGCTGCCTCCTCCGTTTATTCATAACCGGGCCTTTCTACTCTTTATCTGCTCACCAGCTACAAACGTACACAGCGCACAGGGTTTCCCTCCACGGGGGGCTCTGTGGCCGCTGTGCTCGCCTTATTACAGCCACGCTATCTGATCCATGTCCTGTTGGAAACAAGGGGTTTGCTGCATTAAAAGCAAATGCAGATGTTTGAGTAAATCCTCTGTGATGAGCACATTTCATCAGCACTTTACAGGGACTTTATTTATTTTTTTAAGGTTCATTCTGTTTCCGGGTTGTTTCCAGTTCTTCAGATTATAACATATTGTCACTGCCATGCATATTTCTGATGTCATTTTCAAGTCTGTTGAAGGTAGAAGCGTTTCCAGTGAGAATAAATGAAGGAGTTGTGGCTGCTCGTGAGAGTGCTGCAGCCTCCATATATCAGCTCCCAGTAGCTGCCTGGCCTGCAGCCAGGGAGGCAGATAAAGAAGCCTCTCTGTGGTGGCTCCTCATGCTGGCTCTCTCTCACTGAACCCAGGTACTCCAAGATGTACGACCCTGCCAACTGGCTGGAGATTGACCCGCTTAACGGACGAATTTCCACCATCGCCATCCTCGACCGAGAGTCTCCCTACATCAAGAACAACCTCTACAACGTCACCTTCATGGCCTCCGATAACGGTGAGAAATGTGGGGGGCTGTGCCGTGTCCTGCAGTAACCCCGTCCCCCTTCCCCCAACATACAGAGGTGGGCTGTGCTCTGTCAGTAGCTGCAGCGGTGCTGGTTTCGCTGTGGAAGTCAGTGTCACGGTTCGCTTTCTGCAGGGTGTCTGAGACTTCAGGCGGTAAGTGGTATTAGTTGAGTTCCAGCAGCAGTTGAGCACACAGAGGCCACTTCACATCACAGCAACAACTGCTAAGTGTTGCTACCTGCTACGATCTCCCACTGCCGGAAACTTCAGATAAACACTACGGTGGTGCAGCAGGGATGTGTTCCCCAGTTCCACACATCCCTATGAGTCTAGAAACATTTCAAAGGTCTTCAGTGTCGTCTTATAAAGACGTGAAACAGGCTGCACTAGCCGGACACACGCTCCATTCAGATTCACTTCCCTCCTTTGACCCGCTCTCTAAATGCGGAGTGCAGCGAGGTGGAGCTCATGCAAAATGAAACTCCATGACTTCGTCCTGCAAAGAGCTCCGTGTTTCCACCTCATCACTCTTGTTTGACTTATTCGTCATGAGCTCCTCATGGCACAGCGCTGTGTGCATATCGAGATATGTTCATGTCTGCATTGTCAATATCATCCTGCTAGAAACCAGCAGAACTTGGACCTTTGCAATCCTGCTCGTCACACATTTGTATGCACTGAAGCAACCGTGTTCAAACCTCCGTAAGAGTAATATCTTGACTCATTTCTTCACCTAATTTCACACTCTGCCTCTTGGTTAAATAGCTCATGACGTTCCTGTACGTAGGTCTGCCGCAGATCAAACAGCAGAGCTTCACCTTTCCACTCATTGTAGTTGTTTCTCTGTGCACCAGAGAGCACGTTTTTAAAGCTGACGTTACACCAAACTGTGTGAAGAATAAAGACAAAATAATGGACTGTGAATCCAGAAGCTGTGGTCAGAAGACGAGTGCAGGTCGGCTCCTGTATGTCAACGCTTCAGGGAATAAAGTCATGACATTTGTCTCCATTAGGCACTAAACACATACTTTTTCCATTTTGTAAGTCTGTACAGCTCCATCATGGTCCTTCTAGCTTCAGACTCTCATCTCTCTTCACAATTATGAAAAAAACAACTTCCTGCTCACGTTTGAGTGAGTCTCATGTTTAAAAAAAACTCATTCCTTCCACACAATATTTCTGTCTTTGGTCTGAAGAACCAGGTTCAACACGCGTGGCCGGTCCTTATAACAACCAGATAACAGCTTAGAGGCAACGCTAATAAAATTACCCTGAAAATAGCCTCGAGCTCGTAGGGTTTAAATGAGTACCAGCATCGGCCCAAAACAAACTCTGACAGGCAGGTACCGCCTGGAAGGCTTAACGTTTACTGTTGTGTTTGGAAATGCTGCAAATAATGATAATAAGAATAAGAATGGCGTGTGTTTGCTGCAAGATGAAGTGTTCACTGATGTGACCATTTGAATTTGATCTGCACCTGCTAGCGGGCCGTCGGGTTGGGATCGGGCAGAACACTGCATCAGTTCAGCCGCAGGAGAGACCGAATGGTGTCGCAACGAGGTGGATAAAGCATGAGCACACGTCAGCAATCAGCCGAGCTGAAATATCCAAAAGCTGGTCTTAGTGGAAACTCATCGGCTTTTAGATTCGGTACATTTCCTGCTGCTGTTTGCAGACCTGAGCTGCTGTCTGAGGATGAACCGCTCACATGGCTGCTGGTGGCGCTCTGGTAGCCGTCACCGCTCTGGGATCATCTGATGGTGACGCCGTCAGACAGCTTCCGAAGACTCAAAGAGACTCCCGTTAGCTCTCCAGCTTTTTTCTGCAAACAAGGGAGCATCTAGTTGAGAGAGCTGCTAAATCACAAACACCAAAAAAGTGCACTGGATAGTCAGTTTGCAGGCCGTGCAGATAATGAACGAGTCAGCTGCCAGATGTTGAAGACCTCAGAATCATACGAGCACGTCTCAGTTTAAATGCTGCCTCTAATTGAAAGCTGCCTGTCTTTTAGCTGCCTTGTCTTGGAGAAGAGTGTTTACAGGGTCTGTGCCATCGATGGCATCAATGGCTCAGCTATCAATCATCAGCCGGCCCACTCAGACACTTCCAGGCTGCTCTTTATTCCACATACGCCAATGCTGGAGAGCAGCTTTTAAAAAACACCATCGATTCAGTTTCATCAGCAAAGTGGAAAACACTGAAAACCCACCAGTGAGGTTGAAAGACATGTTATCTTTAGAAAAGTCACTCCAATGACGGCCTTTGTCACAGCCGAGTAGTGTGAAAACAGTGAGAATGATTCGATTTTGAACTTCCCGACAGTCCTTGAACTACTCATCTGTAATGTCCCGTTCAGTCACAGCTTAAAAGATGTTACATCAAAATCACGTTTTAATTTATGTTTCATTAAAAAGAAATCCAACAAAGAAAGTGTGCAGTCTGACCATATTCTGCAAATGTTTTGTGCTGCTGGGACCAAGTGAGAAGACGTTAGTGACCCGACTGTGACCAGTAATCACCAGACAACAGTTCAGGACCGTTGTGGTGAAGCTGAGCTGCAGGTCCTGTTCACAGATCAGGGAGAAGAAAATTAGAAATGTACGCCGTAAACGTCTGAGATATATAAAGCCACCATTTTTTCCCCAAGTATCGATAACATGGGCACGATCCCACAGGAACAGTAACGCTCAGCAGCTGTTTGGCTTTAAAGGGTTCAAATACGACCACTGATTGAATTTGATCAGCAAAGTGAAACTTTATTGATTCTGTTTTTGAATTTAGTTTGAAAGCGACGCTAACTTTGACTTCCAGTTGTTATATTTGCATTGAAATCCTGAGTCCAGTTTGAGTATCACAGGATGTCACGTCAGCTGGTCCTTCTGATGGATCGAATACGTTTGTCTGGCGTCGGAGGCACACATTGTTCTGTCCATCATTAATTATGCTTCGCTCTATGTGGGATGGCAGCGACAGTCTTTGGGACACAGAGGCCTCATTGAGTTCTAATGGAGATGTTTTCCTGCCTATTAAATGCATGGTTTCCCAAAGTCTCCCTCTTGTCCCGATCACAACTGCGCTTTATAGCCACAGAAAAGAGGATTCTCTGTTCCAAGTGGAAGATTGTTGAAGGGGAATGTCATTGAGCAGCAGCTCAGAGCGTCCACTCCACACAGAGGCCCCGCTGTGCTCCAGCTTCCTGCTAACCACTGTCTTAGTGCTTTCTCTGCTCTGGCCGTGCACACAAACACACAGGCTGCAGGAGCTCAGCGACACAAAGCGGCGACCAGCGCACCAGCGTTTGCAGAGCGTCCACGTCTGCGGTTTTCAGCCGACGCCATATGTGCGGCGGTCACCTGCCGTCACTGCTGAGCGTACTGCGGTTTCCTTGGTGTCCATAAAGAAAACGTTTTTTAATTTGCAGGCAGTCGTTGCTGTTATACACAGTAAGTCCAGCAGGATGGATGTGGAGACACTGCTGGTGTATGCAGACAGCTGACACGACTCTTCAGTAGCTGCACATCATGTGTTCTGGCCGGTTGGGTTCCATTGGTTTGACTGTTAGTTGTTAGTTAGGAGACAGTGTTGGTTCTGATCTGTTGAAATCCAGCAGCGATCCTTCTTGTAGTGTCACCATCAGGCCCAAAGTTCAAGGCCATTCAGTTCTAATGGACAAAGGAGAGCAGTGAGGACCCGGTTTGGATGCAGCATTGTGTAGCTCACAGGCCAAAGCGGACATCTTGCCCCCGTCATGCTTTATGTTCCATCCGGCCTTTTTCTTGTTATATTAATAAACCGAGGAGGACAAACATTTTTGGTTTTAATGGCCCGAAGACAGTTTTTTCTACCGCAGATATTATTCCATATTTATTACTGGAGTTATTCTGGGGAGTAGCTTGTATCTGGGTTTCATTTTTATTCTCATTTTTTCTTTAGGCGTGCACAGAAAAGCTTTTCTATTCCCACCATGTTTATCGACTTCATCAAGGAGAGGGAAAAAGGCAGCGGTGTTCCAATTATAGCAGTAATTCACCTCATGTGACTCTTTATCTGTTGCTCCATCTACCATAGAGCTGGAAGTTAGCTGTAGCTGTCTGTGATGCTCTGCTCATCCCTCCGTTGTCTTCCAGGCATCCCCCCGGCCAGCGGGACGGGCACGCTGCAGATGTACCTGCTGGACATCAACGACAACGCGCCTCACGTGTTCCCTCCTGAGGTGGAAATGTGCGAGCGGCCGGATCCCAACGCCATCAACATCACGGCCAGTGACCCCGACCTGACCCCCAACGCCGGACCCTTCGCTTTCGAGCTGGCCAATCGTCCGTCAGATGTGCGTCGCAACTGGACCCTCAGTCGCCTCAATGGTCAGTGTGAGATGGTGTTTCTGAGCTCAGCAGCCGTGTTATTTATATACATCATGAGATGATGACTGTTCAGCTTTCCAACGAGCTGTAAAGGTGAATTTTGTAAAGTTTCCTGAAAGTCCAGAAAGGCGTTATTTATCCCTTTAATGTACATCAACAGGGGCTGCAGGGTGGCGCAGTGGTTAGCACTGTTGCCTCACAGCTAGAAGGTTGCCGGTTCGCGTCCCGGGATCTTTCTGCGTGGAGTCTCCATGTTCTCCCCGTGCAGCGTGGGTTCTCTCCGGGTTCTCCGGCTTCCTCCCACAGTCCAGAAACATGCTGAGGTTAATTGGTGATTGTAAATTGTCCGTAGGTGTGAATGTGAGTGTGCTTGGTTGTCTGTCTCTAAGTGTAGCCCTGTGATAGACTGGTTACCTGTCCAGGTGAACCTGCCTTCACCCTGAGTCAGCTGGGATAGGCTCCGCCCCCCATGACCCTAGTGAGGACTAAGCGGTGTATAGATAATGGATGGATGTACAACAACCAGCTCAGACACGTCAGACCTCAGGCAGAAGACCGGGTCGGCAGCACTGACGCCTTCAGACTTTGAACTATCACAAGATGTTCTAAAGGCGTGTACAGAGTTAGTCTTTAATCTTTATTTAAAGACTTATTGAGAATCTTCTTTCATGAGCGTCCAAGCTGCTCCCGCTGCTCCTCCTGATAGTTGTTGTCAGGCTCAGACTCTCCTCCTCTGCTGCTTGTCCTCCTCATTTGCTCCACCTCACTAACCCCGTCGTCCTGACAAAGACCAAATCCATACCGAGTTTTATGATGACATTTGAGGAAAACCAGAAGCCTGTGGCCCTGTGACCATGTAACGGAAATGATCAACTGCAGGTGAAGGTTCGGCACCTCGACTGATCTGCAGTGACACGTTTCAGTTATAAAACCTCCATTTTACCGTTGTGGACGTGTCCTGTTTGATTTGTGCCTTCGTATGCTTCCACATTCACACAGGAGACTGTCTGTGTTGCCACTGCTTCCAGCCCTGTTCCTTGTTTCCATTAAAAACACTGCACAAGAATGAGAAATCGTCCTTTTTCTCCTCTTAGATTAGAGCTACATATCAAGGTAAATCCTGGCCCGCTGGACTCTGAATCAATTGCCTGGGGAACGCTTACACTTTGTGGCAGCAGCTCTTTAGAAACAGACATTTTATTCTCCTTTTGACTTCAGTAGTTCATCCAGTTACCTCGCACTAAAGAGGTTCAGGCTCGAGTAAAGTTCCTGTTGAAAATGGGCACAAGGAAAATATGTAGAACGCTTCTCTCCATCAGCATCTGTCGTGGAAATTGTTTCTGCAAGCAGGTGTGAAAAAACAACCTGACAGCCCCGGTTGACTAAAAGGAAGAATGTTGTGGACTTTGCTGCTGGCACGAGGCTTTCATCAAGGCTCTACTGGAGCACTTAGATGGCTGGTGAAGTGGCAGAAGCGCACTCCTGCAAAGCAAACAGCCCCGGCTCCTCCATTAGCCACCATTAGCACACTCGAGCAGCCGTGAGCAGCGCTGAGGTTTCCACGCTCTCCAGTCTTTTCAGTTTGTCAATCAGTGTCCCCCTCCGTCCTGTCCTACTTTAGGTGAGTACGCCCAGCTTCGACTGCGGATCGGCTCCCTGGCCAGCGGCATCTACGAGGTTCCCATCATGATCACCGACTCCGGCAACCTGCCCATGTCCAACACGTCCTACCTGAGGGTCAAGGTCTGCCAGTGCGATCACCATGGAGACTGTGTGGACATGGAGCGGATCATCGCCGCCGGACTGGGGACGGGAGCCATCATCGCCATCCTGCTCTGTATCATCATACTGCTCGGTATGTATTCCAGTCATGTGTCCGTTCACAAAATAACCCTGAGTTTGTTGATTCAGGGCCTTAGCCTCCTCACAAATACAGCTACACATTGAGGTGGGTTCGGGTTGGTCCGCTTGACAGTGACGCGACATGTCGACGCTGCAGAAAGATTTGCATGAAGGTGCAGCGTCTGTGAAACAGGATGTAGTATGTACCAGGCTGTAGCTGCGTCTTGCCGTTCTGCTGTCTTTTGGTTTTCACCGCTCGACCCATCCATGTCTCTGGTCTACGTCACAGTAACTGCTGTTCGACATTTATTATCTCCACCTCCGACATGATCGGCTCTGCTTCGGTCCCCACTGTTCAAGCAAACCAGGAAACTCAACACACAGCCCACCGCTAATTAACATTTTGGAGGCTTAATTGCAGAGCTCACAACACGAGACTATAGGTTCAACGCAGGAGTTTGAATCAGGCTTAAACCTGAACTTATCCTAAACCTGAACCTACCCTTGTGTTAACCTGAGCCTTGACCATGTCTTCTGCTGAATGGAATGATTCACAGTGTAGGAACTTGATTTGCCCCCAGCAGGGGTAACACCAGCACACACACAGAAAGCCTGACAGCGTCGGTGGAGGTGGACAGAAACAGAGCTCTCACACAAAACTAACAAACACAGGTTTGGTCTGAGTTCAGTAAAGAAACGAAGCCGACCAGAAAGCCCGTCCAGCAGGGCCATGAGCTCCCAGAGGCCTTTCAGTTCAGGTTAACAATGTGCTCGCTGCAGCTTCAGCTTAAATCACAGAACGTGGAAATGTTGCTAAAACGGGTTCATTGATCCCCTGAAGGTGAAAAAAAAGATGATTCATCCAATCCTTTCTCATCCTGCTCACCTGAACTAGACTTTGTGCTCACATTGCACTGGTTGCTAAACAAGGTGGTGCCCAATCAAATTAACACAAATTAATTGCTACACAGAAAACCTGGGGCCAGATATTATTCTAGCAGCCTGGCTGCTGGTAGATTAATGGTCTTTGCTGCCACGTCTGAAGTCACCTGCCACCTGCTACAGCGTGTTGTTGAGCTGTGAACTCAGAATGTACTTCTTCAAACATCGAGTTGGTTGTTGCATCAAAAAGGGAAAGAAATGGCGGCTTTTGCCCAACTTGGAGTTGCAGCCTTTAGCTAGTGTCGGAGATCCCAGGCTTTCATTCCAGCTGTAGATATCAAGTTTGTGGTAGTTTTTCCTGAATTGCTGGTTACCAAGCAGCCCTTGGTGTGCTTGGACACTGTGGAAGCCATTTTGAGCTGCTTGCTCCCTGCAATGTTACAGATGACAACCATAGTGGACAAACAAAGCAGCTCAGGCCTGACAGCGCTCAGCTGGAGCAAGATGAGCCCCACAAACCAAGTCCAGCCGCCCTGTGCAGCATCTCATCACTGCATCGCGTTTACAGCCTGGTACAGCAGAGAAGCTGTGTTTCTGACTCAGAGCTTCCTGTGATGAATGCCTTTTTAGATCAAATCAAGCTCTTTGATTACACAGTTAGAATAAAAGCACCTTGGCAGAAATGAACATTTTAAAATGCTAGGACATGCTTTGTGCTAGAACTCTGCAGGCTGCAGTGAGCTGTGGCAGAAAAATTACTCGTGCAGCAGGCGACATGTGGGAGCAGGAAAGCCTTAATGAAATCCGCCGGACTATATTTTAATAACTGCAGTCGTATTAGAAATTGGAACAGCACCTCCAGTTATACAAGGCATGTACAAAGCATTCAAATCATTTTGATGGCCATTTTTGAGTCCGACTGTGCCTTGACGGGTCAAATGGAGTCAGAAGAATCGGCTACAAGCAGCACAGCAGTGCAGTAAGAATTCTTAATTTCCTCTTCATGCCTGTTATTCAATAAGCGAACCACTCCAGTCCTCATGGCTGGAGAAGAAGAAATTACCCATTACAAGAAAGCTTAAAGTCCGTGTAATGTAGTTAAAGAAAAGCTTCTGAGTTTGTCACACCACAGACGACTGTCATTAACGAGCCCGCCAAATGTAAATGATTGGAAACATCACCAAGTTCATGAAATTAGGTTTGGCTGACAGACGGCCTTCACAGCAGCACCAGCGAACCGCATGAACTGAGAAAACGGAGCCGAGTTCGTTTCAAACCAGATGAGTTAGAAGTGAAACCACAAACGCTGTTCTAGATACAGAATGCTTTGGACACGCTGGCGGCGGAGATGGTTGATTTGGTGTCTTCCACCAGTAAAGGCAGACCATCAGTGTTGGTGATGATCCTCGGCTCTCCATCATCACAGAATCAGACCTCCTCTTCTCCATCTCATCATTCAAAGGAAGTTTAAATGATGTAGTAACCTGCGATCGAACAGGAGAAACACTGACACAGTCTAGTTTCTGGAGCGGTATGAGAGGATTTCATGACCTGGCCCAACCCAAACAGCAACGGTTTAACTCATACGTACTGAGAAACCCTCTTAGAATTTCTTTTGCTTTTTAGCTTTGAAGAAGGAAAGTTCCAGGAATGAAGCTGTAGTGAAGCTGGAGCTGAACGTAGTCGGGTGGCGGTTGGTGCGGTCGCGTACAGGAAGTCAGCGATCAGTTGAAATGGAAGTTGTGGCAGAAGTGAGGATTAGTCTCAAGGTCTCAACGTCTGCAGTGTTTTTAGGATGAGCTCCGTTTGCCTGCTAGTCTTTTTTGGAAATGCTTCAGTGTAGCAGCAAAAGAAAAGTTGAAAAGTTTAATCAGATTTACAGTTTTTGTGAGATTGACGGGCATAATTACTTCCCTTTACTTGGCAGTGTTGGACAAACGCTTCTTAGCTGGGCCCACATTTAGGGAAAGCTGCAGAGTGCATGTTTGTTTAATTTCTTTAAGGGAAAAGACAGACGAATAATGGCTCCTTCTGTCTGTGATTATCAAAGAAATAATAGGCTTATTACTATCCATCCACTCAGACTTAATTTGGGGGCGCAGAATGTGACCACGTCATAGAAGGAGTCCAAGCAGCAGTTGGTTCTTTTAAACAGACTTGATTTGTTGCCTGTTGTCTCCCTGAAAGCCTGAGAGGCTGCAGCAGCCAGACTTCCTGATGCTGCTCACTGAGAAATGTTACCAATGGTGACAAGCCATTCTTCAGATCGGCTCTCCGGGGTTTAAATTGTCCTCACTTAGACTTTCTCTCAGCATCCTGATGTATTTTGGCCCTTGCAGGTACCGTATCGTCGTGCAGTTCCACAAACACATGCACATCCTGAGCTCCCCTGTCTCATAAATCCCCCCAGATTAATGCGATCAGAAAGAGAGAGATTCACATCCACTTTTAAAACCCGCCAGCTGTCTCAAAATAGGAGATGCATGTTTCTGTCATTCTTTAAAATACTTACTCCCATATGCAGGGATTTCACTTGTTGTCTGGCATTAAACTGTGACTGCGTACCAGCAGATAGCGGAGGCTTTGCAGCTGTGATTCAAATCTTGCATCAGTGATAATAAACTCCGTCTCCTGGAGAATCGGCTGATGGTTGGCAGCGTTTGAAAGCAGAACCCATGTAGAGAAACACGGATACAGAAGTGGAGCTCGAGACAAGGTGCTGCAATATCAGTGTTAGAATTAGTAAGATTTTGATTGGCTGATGTAGCTGTGCTTCCAAATGTAGTGTCAGGATGTCGTGTCGAACACCGGCGCCAGCTTAAGATCTGAAAAGGCTCGCCAGCGATTTACAGACTCACAGTAGATGTACAGCTGTTACATCCGTGGATATGCAGGTAATCCGTACGCCACATCCACACTCAGGCTTACAGTCCACAGATATCTGGGCGTGGAGCAGAACCTACACGTGAGGAAAGCCCGCTGTGTCTGCACCACGATTGCACCAAGGAGCATTTGACGTGCAGCTTGCGGCTACATAGCATACACTGGTCATCCAGAACTTTATAATTCGGTCCCAGTCGTGCCTCTAAACCCCGTGGGCTCCTGTGAGCTGTGGGGTGGGACCTCCGTGAACTGAACGTGTTCTGTGGGTTCCAGCGCGTCGCTCAGATGCTCCATCAGATCGCTGTCTGGGGAGTTTAGAGGCCAGATCTACACCTTGGCTGTGTTCCTCAAGCCTTGCTTGAGCAGTTGTTGTTTTTCTGGTGTGGCGGGCCGCATTGTCCTGCTGAGGGGTGAGCTTGGGCTGGAAAATGGTAACGATGCGTGTCAGGACCCGGTTTTCCAGCAGAACCTTGCATTGTATGGAGAGGATCAATGTTATTCACTTCACCCGTCAGTGGTTTTGATGTTGTGCTTCCCCGGCGTATAGAACCGTGTTCCTGTCCCGGGAAGCTCAGTAAGCTGCTGTGGAGATGATCGTCTGCAGCAGTGAGTTCCCTGGACAGCACACTGTGGAGTGGGTTTTTTACAGGATTTGGTGTTATTTTCTAAACATGTTTAAATGAAGCGATTTAATGTCCACCTCACACACAAGTGCTGAATATCAGAGCCTGAATCCCTTCAGCTTTGGCTCACAGGATGTTGTGAGATGTTTGTCGGACCGTGTTCAGGTCACACTTTCTGTTTGCTGCTCTGTCAGCTCTGAGAACAGAGCTCTGTTCTTTCCTCTTGTTTCCTGTTGTGAGACACCATTGGGTTTCCTGTGCAGGCTTCGACTTCTGGACTTCACAGTCCCTCTTGGAAGCCTCTGGTGGACCGCTGGGTGGTCCCTGTGGACACTCAGATGTTCAGTGAACTCGTACCTGATGTTGAACAGCGTCCTTATCTGCTGTTGTCATGTTTGTCCTGCAGTGCTGGTGCTGCTCTTTGTGATGTGGATGAAGAGGAGGGATAAGGAGCGGCAGGCCAAGCAGCTCCTCATCGACCCAGAGGACGACGTTCGAGACAACATCCTCAAATACGATGAGGAGGGAGGCGGAGAGGAGGACCAGGTGCGTATGAACACAGCCACGCCATCAGAAAGCTGTAAACATACAATAACACAGAGCAGCGTTATCAGCCATAAATAGACTGACTCTCTTTTAACAGTTGGTGATAGCGCTCCCTCCCCTCTCCTACACTCCAACACTATCCTCAGATACAACACACACACACACACACACACACACACACACACACACACTGTGCCGCTCTACAGTTTTCAATCATCTGTCCTCCAGCTAAGATTAAGTGTACTACAAAAGAGGACCTCAAAACAGGATTAATTGCTTTCTGTTGGAGAACAATTTCCTGTGTCTCTCCACAACTTCTCTGCTTGTGCCAAGCACATAAGCTGCTCTGCACTTCTGCTGGGGAGATGTTTAACCCTTGCTTACCCAGCCGACTAGCGGCTTCGCTGTTTATTGGAGCAGCTCACGGTGAAAGTTTGGGGTTAATAAACGGCACTTTTTTTACGATTCACTTTCGGCTTCAAGGCTGGTTTCAGTAGGAAGTAAACAAACAAGTCTTCTGCTCTGATTTTGCTGCTGTCTGGTTTGTTGAGCTTCCAAATTAAAGACGAGCATCACAGCAGTGTGACAGTGAGTCACCTCTCTGCTCATTATTATATATTATTGTCATTATTATTATAATTATGGGGGAGCTGCAGGGACCCTTGGACTCGGACTCGGTGCTGTTAAAAGCCAGTTCTTGGTTCCCAGTGACTGGTAAGGACGAGGACAGCAGACAGTAGGTGCTAACAGGAGCTTCAGTGAATCTCTTTATCGAGACTCCTGTTAGTGTTCATCACAGACAGTATTCAATCAGTAACATTAATTTCCCTTTCGTTTGGCCAAACACTGTAGTGGTTACTGCTTTCCCTCGTTGTGGGGCAGCATTAGGGCAGTAGATGCACTAGTTGAGTATCATGTGTAACTGTGTGAAGCTGACATTTTCACAGCTCTAATGTGCAGCTGTCCGGTCAGAAACAAGCAGCTGCATTGACTCTGCACTGAGGGCTAGAATTAATATATTAACTTAGACAACTGACAGTTTTCTGGAGGCATCCCTGTCCTGAGATAAATCTTTATATTCCTCCGTTATAACGCCACGGTCCTCTTGGCTGGAGCAGGCGGCGCGCGATTGGTGCGTTCTGTGTGAAAGAAGAGTCACATGATGCAGCAAACGCCCTCTCTATAGGCGTTATAGTCTGATAAAGAAAACCTGGATGGCAAAGTTTATAACCAGTGGTGATCCACATGACCTCTGATTGGGGTTGTAGACTTTGTTAACCAGATGACCCGGCTCTGTCGGCCTTGTTGGTGCTCCTCTGAGCCGACACAAGCTGTAACAGGCTCAGCCCATCCATTGTTGTGTGTTTCTCTGCATTGAGACAACATTAAGACTGCAAATGAGAGCGACCCTGAGCGGACTGAGCCACGCTGGCTGGAGGAGTGGTGATGCTGGCAGCTCAGTTTGTCATTCCTCTGCTTTGGCTCAAACTGAAATATCTCAGGAACTCCTGGATGAATTACCGTAACGTTCTGCACCAGCGTTGTGCTGCCCAGAGGCTCCATTCTAAGTGATTGATCCTCTGACTTCTCAGCTGCAGCCACAAGCAGATCGTAGCTTTTCCTTATTCAGTGAAATATGTCAACACCTGCTGCAGGGAAAAGCACAAAACTAGAACGAGAACTAGAACTGTAACTATAACTATAGCTAACTACTACAATTGTAGGATAATGGAGCTGGTAAACACTGGCATGTTCACCTTGTCTTAGCGTCTTGCTGTGAGCTGCAGAAGGCTTGTTCCACTGGTGTGACTCACATGACACACTGGTCACAATGATCAGTGTGTCGGCCTTTACTGGAGCTCACTGGGGTTAACGTGTTGGGTTCATTCAGTCACCAGCAGCACATTTCTGACTCAGGCTACGCCCACACTCCCTTTCATATACGTTCTGCTTCCTGCTCAGGCTCTGTTCAGATTCAGATTTCATGTCGGTTCCTCTCTGGTTCGCTTCACGGTGCCGGACTGTCACTCCTGTTCCAGTCTCAGTCAACCTGGAACTAGAAAAGGGCCCAAAACGGCCTCGGGTTTAGTTTTATTTCCTTAACACGAACAAGAACTGAAACATTTCAAAACAAAAGATGTTCAGTTTGACTGTTGGGTTTGATGCACCTGCTGAATCACATCAGTGACGGTGGAAGTCAAACATCATTAAAGATAACCTCTCCGACGGCGCCATCAATAAAGTGCACAGAATGAAAGCTCGACCTTGTGGCTGTGCTGTTTGGCTTCGGATGAGTTAATAGTTTCTCTGTGTGATTTAATATCCAGGAGCAACCAGCATTCATGTAATCTCTCTGCTGTCTAAACAATGGACACAGAGTTAATAAAGGAAACCAAGGTTTGCTTCCTCCTTTATGACTACAGTAACACACTGTGCAGGCCTTGGATGTGTCGGCTCTGCTCTGTTTGATTAGATTTTCATGTTGGATTTTTATTTTATGTTTTTTCTACAGGGTCTTTATTTATATGGATTTAAGCTTTGGATAAAAAGCAGACTCAGTTCTCAGGAACACACTCACACACACACTGTTGGAGCTTCACAGCAGCTGCTTCCTGCCTCTAATCCTCACCTATAACTAATACCATCATACTTCTACCCCAAATGCTTCTTAAACGCTTCAGATTGCAGAGGAATGTAAATCTTGGTTGTCCTGAAGCAAAATACGGCTGGTGAATATCAACAGAAGTTTCTGTTTGGCAGAGAGCAGAACTTTCACCGAGATCGGAGCAGCAGAAGCTGCAGCGAGGTCCAAACTGCTGCATGATCTGATAGCGGCAGTCCTGTCGGATCCTGTTGTGTGGCGTGAGTCCAGCGTCTGATAAGAGAGAGAATGAGGAAGTATTCTGATCCCTGAATTAAGTGAAAGCACCAGTACAGCAATGTGGAAATCCTACTTCAACAAACAGCACACTGTGTTAAAGTATGGAAGTAAAAGTCCTGGTTCTGTCCTGCTGTCTGACGCGTTATTAAATGAACAGTAATGCTGCAGCGTTGTAGCTGATTCACTCATTGGATCAGTTGAACATCAACAGACGTCTGAAATGTGAACCTGACTGCACAGTTCTGTTTGTAAGACGCCATAAAAGTTGGAAACCGCACTTTAAATCTTTAACTAACTTGTATTTTAAAAGCTTGTTATATAATTTATTGTGTAAAATCTTCATCTTAAAAACAACTAAAGCTCTCAGATAAATGCAGTGGAAGAGAAAGTACAAGTTTCCCTCTGAAACGTGGTGGAGTGGAAAGAGGAAGGAGCATGAAATGGGAAAATGAAAGCAAAGCACTTCGACGGGACTCAAGTAAATGTGCATCCTCCTGCACCGCTCGAGGTTCACAGAGCGCTGAGCTGCCTGTTACTGGTTTCCAAAAGTCAGGTTTGACCAAATTCAAACAACTCAGTCCTTTTGATTAATTGAGTGAGTTACCTGTAATGCGATCAGGTCATGTGGTCTGTCTGATCGGATTTGTTGTTTACAAATCATGAGCTTTGGTCCACATGTGCACAGCAAAGTGATCAGAGAGCAGGAGAGACACACTGAGAAAGAAGATGTGGTTAGAAGCACGAGTCCATCGTATGGAAATATTTCAGCTTAAAATGGGAGGATCTGACCAAAAACAGGCACTCTGAGTTATTGATAATACCTGAGACATCCTCACTAATTGTTTTGATCAATTTCAATCTGGACCACAAAGCTCACAACTGAGTCATCCAGAGAATTAAAGTGTGCCTTTCAAGGGTCCATACGACTTTTCTTTGCAGATGCATTTCACTGTAAAATCATCCCAATTTTCCGAGTTCATCTCGTGATAATTCTTCTGTCCTCTCAAGATACGTGACAGAAAAACAAAATGAAACAATCCCAGTCGTGCAGCCCTAATTAGGAATGCTGTACTTCAGGAATAAGTATTTCTAGTAAACGTGCAATGCAACGGAACCACACTTCGAGTAGAGTCCTCGAAGAAATGAAACGTCCTTTCTGAGAGGACACGTCATTCTATCAGGTCCCTGTAAGTATAGAAACACAGCATCTCCCTCCTTCCTGCCAGGTTATTGCAGCACTCTCAGCTGCTCCTCACCCAAAGTATTCTGTTGGTCGGTCATTATTGTGAACAAAGCCCAAGGTCAGTCCACAGCTTGCTGTTATTGTCCTGAAAAGGCTGCTTTAGTCGATTTCCCTGGAGACCAGAAAGCACGAAATGGTTTCTGGATGGTTGCTGCAGTGACTCAGACGCTGGCATTCAACAGGAACAGATCAGAGGCCGTGACACACACTTCGCCTCTGCCCGCTGATTGTGCTCGTGTTGTGTAAGAGAAGGTGAAAGACGGGCTGTGTTTCTCTAAGTGGATGCTAATTAGATAGCATTAGAGTCTCGTTGTCTTCCCCCTGAGGACAGATGATGTAGGAGAACTGGTAGACGTTACATCAGAGGAGCTCAGTGCGCTTGTTTAGTCAGTGAACCTCTCACGCCAGCTGTTAAATACCGCTGGAGCAGAGAGGTGGTGGGCGGTCAGGTCGCTGGAGGACGGCTGCTGTCGCCAGTCAGTCAAGTTGGTGATGAGTCTCAGCGCTCTGTGTTTGTGTTGCCAGAGGCGAGCGGAGCGCTTGGCATTAAGGTGGATTAGAGAGGATGCAGTGTTACAGGAGGTACGACTGTCGGCCAATCAGCTCGTCTCTCTCATTTAGTTTGAAGTGTGAATTTACAGCAGCTCCAATATTCCAAGGACGGATAATGTCTCTTTTAAGTAGAAGCGTTTGAAGTTGAATTGATCATTTCAGGACAACCTGGAGGTCACCGTGCATAACAATGTGTAATTTTGTGTTTTGCATGCAGCGCAGTGACGTGCAGGTTGTCTGTCGTGATTACTGTTCGTCATTTTACTGAACACATCTTGTAAAAAACCTTTGTTCAAGTTCCATAGCACACGCGTCTGTACACTAGCTGTACGTGACCCTGAACGGTCACAACACGCCCGCTTCGGATGCAGAGACATCCCTGAACTAGCTGCGTGTTTGGACAGTGGGAGGAGGCTGGAACACAAAGAGAACCACACAGACGCAGGAGAACATGCAGCCGCCACACAGTCCCAGCCAGGCGGCAGATTGGTGGCGACAGCGCTAACCGCTGCCACACCGCCCACACAACACACTGGATTCTTATTATACTCTTGTTTCACATCATTATGTATTTTAAAGTCTGCACAGCCATGATTTCACCATCTCATGCTGTCCGTTGCAGCAGCTTCTTCTGTAATTGTCGCATGTGCACAGCGCTTACAGCGGTGGGTTTCCACAAAACACCAGTAAAAAGCTGTTACTGGAAAACACTACTTCCTCAGCACACGCCCGCATGAAACTGTTCCCCCGAATGTCTTCACCGTCACTAAATGTGCTTTCATTTCTACGTGACCGTGCGTCTGGGGTCCGGGACGGGCCGGCCTCCATCAGAGGACTGCAGAAAGTAAACGTACAGCATGAGGGCTGATGAACAGTAGCAGCTCGAGTCCAAAGGCGTGGGAGTTTGGTTTTGTCAATTAAATTTAAAGGTTAAGGTTTTTGGTTGTTTTGGGTTTTTTTGCTTTGGTTTACCAGCAGAACATGTCTTCATGTATGAGACATATTACTCTGTACAGTATAGCAGCAATGCAGATGTTCCTTCATATGATATATTTATTACTTTATATTGCAGTGAAAATTGAGCCCACGGTGAATAAAAAAATAAAGTGACAGGAGCAGAAAATGTCCAGCAGCTGGCCGGGGTTCGTGGGGTTACGGGATCTGCTGTGTGGAATCCTGGTGGTTTAGCGACTGCTGTGGGTTTGTAGTCAGTGGAACATCCTGAGGCTCTCTACGAGGATCCAGTGTGCTGCTTGGAAAGCCTCTTGAGTTTGTAAAGCTAATGTTTACAGATACAAATGACTTGACTGACTAATGCCAACACGTGAACGTCCGGCTCTGTGTGTCTGTTTAGGACTACGATCTGAGCCAGCTGCAGCAGCCTGATGCCCTGGAGCCAGAGTGCGTCAAAGTGGGGATCAGACGTCTGGATGAGAGGCCCCTCCATCATGACCACCAGTACCCCCTCCGCTCTGCCGCCCCCCACCCAGGAGACATAGGAGACTTCATCCACGAGGTACGGAGAAAGCGAGCGGGCCTTGTGGGTCCGTATCTGTGGGCAGATCCATCAGGGAGCCACAAACCTCGGTGGCAACGTCTTTGTGTAAAATGTCAATGTCGCTGTCAAAGCCGCCGGCGCCAGTTCAGCCGAGTAGGGTGTCCCTTCTTCACTCAACTCACTCAGTCTGTTTGCCCAGATTAAATTCTGGTGTCGCGCACATGCACTTCTCAGCACACAGGAAGTGATAAATCACAACTTCAGTGAAATACAAACTGTCTGACAGCAGTAAGTGAACACTGTCCACAAAAAGCTGGATTTGCCAACGTTAGTTCTTTTGCTTCTCTCATCTCTTTGCTCTGCTGCTTTGGTGTAAAGCATCAAAGACTGGCCAGGATTTGTGCAGTTTACCTCATCACCTTACAGGATTTAGGATATTGAAGTTCAAACAGTTTATTTTTTTCAAACAGTTGCTGTGTGCAGCTATCCGGAGCTGCTGCTGCAGGAACACACTGCAGCATTTACACACTTTGATTGTGGCTGCTTACAGAAGGCAGCACATGTTAAAACAGGGCGGCACAGAGGAATGGTTGCATTAGATTTCACTGTGCTGTCAGCGGTTGTTCAGGTTCGTACCCTGCAGCACCTGCAATGTTCATGTTTTGTTGTTGCATATTCTCTGTACAGACACAAATGTGATAAATCTACAATGATGTGATGCTGTGTGCTGGGTTTGTTTAGGACACAAAGAAAGTCAGAGCAGTTCTGTAGCCAGAGACCGTCTGAGAAATACACAGAGTACAATGTCTGTGTAATTCTTAATTAGCTTTGCTAATAGTTGGGATTAGCTGGCCTCAGACATGGCCACAGCCGGGCTACCTAACTGGAGGTAAATCCACTATGTTTAGTTAATCCCACAGACTGGCTGCAGGCCTTGCACAGCTCCTTAAAGGGACAATTTAGGGTTTTGGGACGTGCCAGTGCACATCGTGTCACACCCAGATACAGCCTGTGCTGCTGTGGAATGACACCAAGTGTTTGTCAGCAGACAGAAACCAACTGATGTGAAAACTTAAAGATGCATTAAGAGATTTTTGAAGCCTCTCGCTGGCTGAGACGTGTTTTTTTATGAAGCTGGATTAAATCAGTTGAGTATTTACACATCCAGGAGACACATGCACCACATTAGTATGTGCAGCATCAAGTCTGGACCGTGTCTGCCTGCTGTTTTCTGTAGAGAAGGTAGTGTACTGTGAATGTTTCCAAGCTTTTTCACTGAAACATCTGCCCAATTCTGCTAGGAATGAGGCTCGTGAGAGCAAAGAGTGAACCCAAAAGAATTAGCTGAAGGCATCAAGGCTCTCATTCAGGCGAAGCTTCACTGTGAGAACGATGTACATACCGAGAGCACATCCAGGGCAAACTGGGTAAAGGGTGAAGCTGCAGCCTGACCTGCTCAAGTGTTGACTGTCGTCATGATGGTGCCACCGCCCTGCTTCAGTGTGACTGACGTGACAATGGACATTCAGGAGACATCTGGTATCCAGTATTAAACCTTAAAAAATATTTGCACATTCATATATTCTGATATTCTTGAATTAGGGAGATGTACTGTAGCTGTCTGACCAGGTAACCAGCTTCTCATATAAAGTCAATATGAGATACGAGTGACTATTCAAAGCAGAGTGTTTTTAAACTGTGCTTTAAATCAGCAGCGTACCTGGAGGGGATCTTCAGCATCAAGATGCAGAGTCCTGCAGCTTTATGGCTTAGTGTTTATCATCCAACACGGCTTCTGTTTGCTGTAACTTTTTTATTCCAACTACTTTGTTGAAGTTCGGTTTAAGTCCCATGCTTTACAGACCCATCCAGCCTGTGGCACCATCATGTTCTCATGTCTTTTCATGGGTCGCATTTAGGCATGTTAACAGAATAATGACCCTAACCCTTCCAGCTGTCAGATCATTAATGTCATCATTTAAACAAATAGTATTCAGTAGTATCTACAGGCAGACATCAGAATGTGGGCGGTCACACTGTCCCTACTTGACCACCGAGGCCAAAGGTTTCCATATAATGATATTACTGTGATCTCTACAGCAATCTGATGCAGAAACATCAATGAACACTACTGCTATCAGTGAAGTGTAACGGCCTCAACACAAGCTGTAGCGTGGTGGAGAGAGATCCTGGAACCATCCCTGGACTGGATGTTGTTCTGGTGCTGCAGTGACACCCAGAGACTGACTGACACCAGTTGTTTTTGTAGCATCACACGTGCATTATTTACATGATGTCGGTCTTTTACAGGGTTGGGGCTCGTAAGTATCACGCTGTCTGTAACACCAGTAAAATCAAGACAAGCCTGGTCTGAACAATGAGCAGTCGGAGATCGATGGTCAGAAAGGAGAATTCAGTATGTTTCACATGAACTGGTTTGATAGAAGCGTAGTAGGACCGCATGAAGTAGTCCGAGGCGATCAGAGCCTCTACCAGCTGCCTCCCTGATCTGCCCAACAGCTCCTTTGTTTGTCTTTGCAGTTCTGATGCAGTGAATGGAGGAACATGTGGAACTCAAAGGAGCAGCTGTGGCTGTGCCTTGTCACCTGCACACACCTGGTCCATTCTGTGTGCAGCAGATGTGAGGTTGTCCGAAAAGTTAAAGTACGAAATGGACTGGACTGTGGATTATAATTAGCAAAAGCCTAGTAGCCACCTAAACAAGGCTTCAGCCTCGGTGAGAAGGTGGACACTCTGACTCCGGATGAGAAGTCACTGGTTCCAAACAGCGCTGTCGGTGTGTGCTGGCTCTGCCGGTACCTGACGACACTCTCTGGATGGATTAAAGTGACTCTCCGAGTTAATCAGGCTTCTTGGAGAGTCTCATCATCTCAGGTGTACAGAGTCATCACTGTCGACGCCGTGGCTGTCTGCGTGCGAGTTGCTTCTGTATTGTTTGTGTGCGTGCTCGCCTCTTTGGTTCGGCTGCATAAAGACATCTGCCAAGCGCGGCGATGAATAATGAGCGGGAGCTGTCAGACATGGCGAGCTGATCTAGACGGCTTAATCCGGCAGACATGACAAGCCGATGCTTCTCATCCTGCCTCTCCCTCTCTGCGTTAATTCTCCTCCCATTGAGTTTCAGAGTGACGGGAGTGTCTTCAGTCAGACGACAGACGGCCCACACAACATTTCCAAAGCTTATCAGATTTACTTCTTTTATTGCAGACACTGAGTGACAGCGAGCAGCAGAACAACACAGAACCGGACTCTCAGCTGAGCAGTTTTGTTTATATGTAAATCATAGATTTTCCTCTTAGTCTCCTTCTTTGATAAATGGACTATCTTCCTAGAACACACTTCTGTTGATGTGAGATGGGGGGCGGTGGCGGTTTTAAGTTCAGTCCAAACTGGGTAATCTGCTGAATCTCCTCCTAGAGATAGAAGCAGCATCTGCACAGCCTGACCCAAATCCTCCTCTCCTCTCCACTCCTCTGTAATCCCTCCTTCCCTCCGTCTCCCTCAGCCTGGCCTACTGTCCATTTCAGCGCTCACACACTCAGCGGAGCCGTTGCCACACCCTCATTCACATCATGGGAACCGGCTTGGACCCCCACACAGTGCCTTTGTAAACAGACGGATGTCCTCGTAGCACAACCTTTCTGCTTCACCGTCCCTCTCCGCCTGGCTCTGGTCTCCACCGGGCCTCACTCTGGTGCCTGTTCTCTGGGGGACGAGGAAAAAGCTGGAGTGAAGGTCGACATTTTGAATCCCTGTTGTTTGGGAAAGTGAGCTGTGGTCCAGTGGGCCAACAGGGGTCATGAGGCGGGTTTCTGTGGTTTTACATTGCTCTGCTTTGGTATGGAAGCATGGGCATAGGCTACCATAATACCCTTAAGCTTACTATACAGTTACTATAGAAATGTAGGATTACTATAATCCTCTATTCGATACTGTCAGAGTCTTGTAGCTCACTCAAGCATTCGGCTTTTCTCAGCCACAGAGGTACTGTGCAGTGCGGCTCGCTGTATGTGGAAAATCTCTGCTGCTGCTGCAACATGGAGGCGTCCATTTTAACGAACTGAAAGTTGACAGTTCTGCTCAGCAACGATTTTGTTCAATCTTCTCCGGTTTAGAAGTGGTGAGTGCAGAATGCAGAGGATTAACCTGTGACCCGCTATGAATGTGCGTGTTCTCCATCCCACATCAAACACAGGCTTTGTATGTGAAGGCTCGATCAGGGATGTGGCTCTCCTGCCTCAGCAGCCAACGATTACGTTCTGGTCAGGAGCAGCCTGGTGCGTATTCACCAGCAGTCACCCACAGTGTGTGTGGATGTGATGCAGGCTGTTGGAAAGACTGAGTGGTTAAAATCAAGCTTCCACTTCAGGGCCTGATAAAATGATGCTGATGGTGAAATTTCTAGGACGGCCACTTGAGGCCAAAAGCGGTTCAATCCCAGTCGACCTTCATGTTAAATGTTAAACTTCACAGCAGAAACCAACATGACTACATCCTGTACGAAGGACGGTTTGGTTTCTAATTTCCCACGAGTTGAACTCACCTGTTTAAATTGTATTCAGACTTAAAGATATTCCTAATTAAGGGTGTGGCTAATGGACAGGTGGTGCTGTTACATCGCCCACACATGTTTTCAGGGCTCCACTCACTCTCCATCACTGGCTCATTTTTGGAATAACCGGGAGTTAGGAGTAAGGTTCTGCCAACATCGTGATGACACTGAGCTTTAGTGCTGCTGTTTGGAAACCCTGTCACAAAGGGTCCGTCCATAAGAGTGCAGAAATGTACGGCTTTGTGTTGAAGCTGTGATGCACCAACCTGTGTTCTTCCTGTGGCAAATCTATGGACATCATTCAGCTGTACACATGATCCAATGTTGGAATGCCTTTTTAAACTGTTTCATCATGTTGTGAATACTTCCAGCCAAACATCTGGTTCGGGTCAGGGTTAGACGTATGAAACAAAGCAATGATGTAGGCTGTAGTTAGCGCGGCGGCAGGAAGCAATATTGGTGAATAAACCGAGTACTTTGTGTTGTGATTTGTTCCATTTGCTTACTTTTGCAGAGCAAATGAAGCTTTATTTAAATCATCCATTCTGAGGAAAAGTTTCAATGCAGCCAGAGGTCAAGTTCATCTCATAGGGATGCTGTGGAAACGCTGCTAAGCTAGCTTTCATCTCCTGCAGCCATTGTGGACGCAGCACACCGCTGTACTCAGTTGAACAGGCTGGTTTGTAATGTTTCTGTGCAAATACATGAGAAAAAAAGACACCGTCAGAGTGAATGGCGAATGAAAGGATGCTCTGCTGCCTTTTCATCTTTGCTAGTTCACGATACCTGAGTAGACAAAGTCATTTATCTGCTGAAAGGCTGCCGTCAGGCAGCTTCTCAGGTGGAATGCTGTCTTGCATGTTCGTGGACGCATGAGTGAATCAGTGAATGCATCTTAAATGTCAGTACAACTTTGTTTTCATTGACTCCCTTGTATTACAGAGGCTTTAACGATGGCTACAAAAGTCCTTTTCTCATCTTGTCCTTGCTTACTGCACTGTGTGCTGGTTTCCTTTTCTCCGTGAAACTCTTTCCACTGCTATTTGCCGTTGCTCTGCTCACCTCCGTCTCCTCCGTGTCCCCTGCAGGGCCTGAAGGCGGCGGACAACGACCCCACCGCTCCCCCCTACGACTCCCTGCTGGTGTTCGACTACGAGGGCAGCGGCTCCACCGCCGGCTCCCTCAGCTCCCTGCACTCCTCCTCCAGCTGCGGAGACCAGGATTACGACTACCTCGGCGACTGGGGGCCACGCTTCCGCAAGCTGGCCGACCTGTACGGCGGAGAGGATGATTAGCGCCCTGGCCCCTCCCCCTACCAACGACAACACTCTCCCCACCCTTGCTCGAGGCTCAGGCGGTGGGTGGGGTTAGGAAGACAAAACGGGATAAACATGGGGTTCGGATCGGCACTTGTGTATTTCCACGGGACAGCTTGTAAAGAGACTCGCTGCCTCTTGAGGGGACAGTTGGTGACACTCGGGACCATGCTGACTCCTGGCCTTTGTGAGGCTGGGCACTGGCTAGCATTCAGGCTAATGGACATCATCTGAGCGTTAGCCCCCGTGCTAACAAACGCGAGCAGCCAGAACAATGCGCTCAGAGGTTATGTTGTCTCTGTGATGGTTGAGAGCTACGACAGCCATGCTACAGACGCTCATTTACACTTGAATCTTTACAGTACAGCAGCACTGGGGTCAAATGTGCCTTTTTGTACATTCTTTTGATTGTGTTCAGTCTCGATTCTGTATGTTGCTTTCAAGCTCCTGGTGTTTTGCAACTGCAACTTGGAGGAGCACTTTGCCATAATGAGCGCATGTGTGTGTGTGTTTGGGTTCCACCTCATTACTTGTGTGTGTGTGTATGTGAGCGTGTGTGTGAATCATTTCCACAGAGACACACTGGATGGATTCTCTAAAGGGCAACGCCGACTATGAGAGGCCTTGGATGATCCTACCAGCAAAACAACTCGGCTTTACTGTGCAGCTCTGGGTCACAAGGTCAAAGCTAAATTAGGGTTTGATGAGACGTTTTGTCTTTTAATGAGTCACATGTGACAGAAGCTCAACCTATAAATATATATACACACCTTCCTCCGTCATGTCTGTTACGTGGACTTTGGCTTTTGAAACACGTGTGCTGCTTTCACTACAGCTCTCTGGTATTAATGTGACTGTCTGCATTAACAAAGCTGGCCGAGATCAAAAGTTTTATTTCCTCTCAGCTCTGTCACACTGATTTTTCTCTGCAAACCCCGATTATTCAGCATCACATCAGGTCAAAGCTGTGGCTAAATTGCTATAAGAACGGCTGCCTCCTCCGGTTTTCAACTCCCTCCGATGGTCGAGGACATTCAGTGCCAAAATGAATTTATCCGTTTGTCTGGGAGCTTTATACAAGCAGGAAACGTTATTTGCGGGTGCAGTTTAATGCTGTGGATCTGTATTTCACAAAAGGGAATTTAAAATGGGATGCAGTTTTAGGCAAAGTGGTGAAAAACATGTTGATGAAATACGATTTCCGTTTCCGTGTTTGCACAGATGAAAGAAAACAGAAACAAAAACTGGGACAAAGAATCAAGGCCAAAAACAACTGAATCTAAAAACATTTGAAGCATTTCTTTTGGTGGCGGAGCAACAGTGAGATGAAATGACAAATAGATGAAAATATCCATCATGAAGACAATGAAGTGAGTAATGAAATATTTACAGAACATGACAGAGAGGCGGAGAGGCAGTTTGTAGTCTGCAGACAGTCCTGGTTGGAGTTTTCATTTGCAGATGAATATTTCAGTTCCATAAACAGCTTGTGGACAGAATACAGAGTGACTGAGGCCCACTAATATCCAGGTTCGCTGCTTAAATGACCAGAGCGGCGCCTTTTCCTCTGTCATGTCTGGATCTGCGGCAGAACAGTGACAAGCAGCAGGAAAGCTGTTGTTTCTACTTCTGCAGGTAACAAATGTAAATGTCAGAAAACAACTTCCTGTAACGAATGCTGCGTGTTGCAGTGGAGCGGCGCTCCTCTTTTACTTTATGACAACATATTTTGGTCCAGCTGGTTGCGGTGCAGCACACCTAATGATCATGACGTGTTTCACATCTCGAGGTATAAAACGTGTCAGATGTCACCAAGCAGCTAAATCGTTTACTGTTCATCCCGACTCTTATCAGCAGAAACAGTACGGAGCAGCTGCAGCATTCAGTCCGACAACAAAAACAGTTTGTGTTGAACTCTGATAGAGTCAACATGCCCGAGGACCGCGGACCGACT